AAATCGGGCTTGTCCCCCTAAAGGGGAATTTTCGGTGAAAAATAAAAAGTACCCCAAAAGGTCAACAAGTACGCAAACAATAGTCCCCAGACTATTTTTGGCATATATTTTTGATTATTTTTGGGGTATTAGTTATGTTTCGTCGAAAAACCTCCTGTAGGGGGATAGGCCCTGTAGGGGGCGGCCGAAGGGGGTCGCAGGCCTCTGCCGTCTCGAAGAGATCCTTGGAAATCCGCGCGTTCCCAGACTCCCAAAACGCATCAAAACAAGCGTAGCTTTTTATCCCGACCCCATGCTGTGGTGTTAGGCCTTCCTTTTGAAGAGAGACAGTGCCCGCGTCTCCTCCTCCTCCTCCTCCTCCTCCTCCTCCTCCTCCTCCCCTTTCCTCCCCTCGCCCCACCTCTCCCCTTCCCTCCGCTCCTCTCCTTTGCTCTCCTCTCCTCTCCTCTCCTCTCCTCTCCTTTGCTCTCTTCTCCTGTTCTCTCCTCTCCTCTTCTCTTCTGTCCTCTCCTCTCGTCTTCTCCCCTCTGCTCTCCTCTTCTTTCCTGTCCTCTCCTCTCCTCTCCTCTCTCTCCTCTCCTTTCTCGCCTCTCCTCTCCTCTCTCCTCTCCTCTCTCCTCTCCTCTCTCCTCTCCTCTCTCCTCTCCTCTCCTCTCCTCTCACCTCTTTTCCTCTCTCCTCTCTCCTCTCTCCTCGCTCCTCTCCTCTCTCCTCCTCTCCTCCTCTCCTCCTCCTCCGCCTCCCCCTCCTCCTTTTCGTCCTCCTCTTTCTCCTTCTCCTCCTCCTCTTCCTCCTCCTCCTCCTCCTCCTCCCGTTATCCCCCTCACTTTGACACACCCCTCACACGCTTTATGGCCCCATAGGAAGCTCCACCGAGGGCGGCCGTGGCTGCGTTCGCATGCCGACAACCCCCCTCAGTTTGGCACACCCCTCATTTGTTTCGTGACCCCAGAGGGAGCTCCAGCGAAGGCCCCAGTGGCTGCGCTCGCATGCCGCGCCCGCATGTATTAGCCGGCTTCTCTCGGTGTCTGCCAGCCGCAGCGGGTTACATCAGCATAGAACCTGTTTCGCCTGACCTCCGCGCCCCCTTGCGGGCCGCCCCGGCGGCAGCGCCCGCATGTCGGCCCTTCCTCAGTTTCGTGCTCCCTTCACGCGTGTCTTGGCTCCGCAGTGAGCTCCGCCGACGGCGTTGTTTACATCGGCGGTGCTCACAATGCACATGGTTGGGTCCGTCGCCAGGATCAGTTTTCCAGCCATCTTGCGTGCTGCTGGGTCCGCGTTTTGAAGAGAGCGCTCCGCGTCCCTCCTCTTCACCCCCGTCTCTCCTCCTCCAATCCCTGCCTGTGTCCTTCCTTCACCATCGTCCTCATCGTCATTGTCATCGAATGCCATCACCATCATCAGCATCATCATCATCAGCATCCTCATCACCATCATCAGCATCATCATCATCACCATCATCATTAGTATCGTCATCATCAGCACTATCATCATCAGCATTGTCGACATTACTATCATCATCATTACCATTATCATCGTCATCGTCATCGTCATTATCGTCATCATCATCATCATCATCATCATCATTTCTATTGTTCTCTACCTAGGCTCTGCCTAGAAGGGTTCTTACCTTATTAGCTTAAAGGGGCCGGGCAGTGGGGCTCGCCCCGGGCGGTTCCCCCCGGCATCCGCTCCGCGGTCCCCCCAGTTACGTCCCCTTAGCTTAGCGTTGCTTATCTCATCTTAGCTCTTAGCTTAGCTTAGCTTCATCTTAGCTCATGTTTATCTTAGCTTAGCTTACCCCTTCATCTTAGCTTCGCTGAGCTTTAGCATAGCAGCGCACAGCATATCATAGCATAGCGTAGCATAGCATAGAGCAGCATATCATAGCATATCATATCATATCATAGCATAGCATAGCGCAGCATAGCATAGCATCGCAACTCATAGCTTAGCATAGCACAGCGCAGCATGACATAGCATAGCATAGTGCAGCATAGCATAGCATAGCATAGCATAGCGCAGCATAGCATGGCATAGCATAGCATAGCATAGCAACTAATGCTGCTTTCCTAGGGGCTCCAACTTTTAGGTAGGGTCGCACTGGAGTAATGATGATGCTGATGATGATGATGATTATTATTGTCAGTATGATTATTATTATTGTTATCATTCGTAGTATTCGTAGTTTTAATATTATCATTATTATTATTACTACCACTACTATTTTTAGAAGTATTATTATTACTACTACTATTACCAGCAGCAGCATCAGCATCATCGTCATCCACACGTCTCGTGGCCCCACAGGGAGCTACACCTAAGGTCCCCGTGGTTGCGTTCGCATGCCGCCCGCCCCCCCCTCCTCAAGCTGGCACACCCCTCACACCTCTCGTGGCTCCATGGGGGGCTCCACCGAAGGCCCCAATGGCTGCGGTCGCATGCAGCCGCCCCCATTACGTCGGTGCACCTTTCACACGCTTCGATACCCCATAGGGACACTCACCGAAGGTCCCAGAGGCTGCGTTCGCATGCCGCCACCCTCTCACTTCGGCACACCCCTCACGCGTTTCGTGGCCCCATGTGGGGGGCTCCACCGAAGGCCTCAGAGGCTGCGTGTGCGCTTAGGTTTTGACCCCCAGGTCCGTTGAGCCACTGCAGATGAGCGGCTGGAGGACCAAGTCATGGGAGGAATCGGACCGTGGGATTCCGCCGCGGCTGACACAGCAGAGATGGTGTTCGCGGAGGGAGTGGGGGGGGTAGGTGGAGGATATCCTTTCAATGCGTCCGGTGGGGAGGAGAAGGACGAGGGGGAGGAGGACGACGTTCTCTCGATGGAGAAGACAACGTCTCGTCCCTCTCGATGCTCCCGAGGTGGGGCATTCAACGTTCTTGGTATCCTCCGTGCGGGCTCCCGGGCCTGGGTGCCGCAACTCCATTCGACGTTGATCCCCAACATGGACGGTTCCCCGGGGCAGTTCGGGGATCTGCCCCTCGATGATGCGACCTGGCAAGCCTCCTCGCTTTGGTCTTTGCCTACTTCCCCACTGGGAATAGTTGGGCGTCTGCGCCGGCCCAAGAGGGCCCCAAGACGGCCCAAGAGGGCCCCCAAACGGCCCAAGAGGGCCCCAAGGGTGCCCCAGGAGAGCTCCACGAGGCCCCCAAGAGGCTCCTGAGAGGGCCCCACGAGGCCGCCAAGAATCCCCCGAGACGGTCCAAGGCCTTCAAGACGGCCAAGAAGGGTTCAAACATTGGCCCCAAAAAGACCCCCAAGACGACCCAGAGACGCGATAGATTGAGCAGGCGATTGTTGCGACCAACACGTGTTACGCAGCAGGGAGTAGACAGCGACGCGCAATACGCAATACTTTGAAATTAATAGCATAGCAGGTGCCATGATGCGTTTGCAGTGCGCACGGCAACAGTCAGCATATGCAGGGGGGGGGGGCAGGACATGGAGGGACGAATTGATGAGCACGTAAAGGATTGGACGGAGTTTGTTGGGAGGAGGGGCGAGCGAGGCGCTTGGGCGCGATGAAGCGCAGAATGGCGATGAGAGAATCTATGAATTTATGCTTGCGAGGGTGATTATGTTGCTGCTGATTGGTCAGGAACAGCAGGACGTGGAAACAGACGGAGACGAGACTATTTGGTGGCAGTGATGATAGTTGTGGCATTGCGGTCGACGACGACGGTGTATGTTGGTGACGATGGTGATGTTGCTGATGATGCTGCTGCTGCTGAGGAGGATGATGATGGTAATGATGAGGATGCTGTTTATGGTGATGCTGCTGCTGATGCGGATTTTGATGCTGGTGATGGCTATTGATGGTGATGACGATGATGATGATGATGGTGATTGTGATGATGATGGTGATAATGATGGTGATACGGATAGTGATGTCGACGATGCTGATGATGATGGTGCTGCTGATGATGATGGTGTTGGTGATGATGATGAATCTGATGATGCTGCTGATGATGGTGATGATGACCAGGATGATGCTATGATGATGATGATGCTGATGCTGATGCTGATGATGATGATGATGATGATGAGGATGTGGCTGATGATGATGATGATGGTGATGCTCGTGATGATGATGCTCATGCTGCTCATGATGTTGGTAATGATGTTGCGGATGCGGAGGAGCAACGGTAGCTTCAGCAGGGGGGGATGAGGATGATGTTCCGGGTCACCGCAGGCGGATGAGGCGGGGAGCAGGCGCATTAGCATGAGAGGCATGATGCTGGATGGTGGTGGTGGTGGTTGTGGCGCTGACCCTAGCGATGATGTTGGCGATGACGATGTTGACGACGATGATGTTGATGATACTTAGTATGCTGGCAGTGGTGGTGCTGATAATGCTATTGATGCTGATGCAGGCGATGGTGATGGTGAGGTCGATGTTGGTGTTTGTGAGCGGGGCGATGATGGCGATGACGACGACCATTGTGATTGTGATGGCGATTGCGGTGGTGGAAATGATGACGATGCTGATGCTGATGAGTATGATGATGCTGGCGACGGTGATGATGCTAATACTGTAGATGATCGTGTCGTGATGCTGCTGATGCTGATGCTGATGATGATGGTGATGATGATACTCAGGATGCTTGTGATTATGATGATGATGGTGATGCTGATGATGATGCTTATGATGATGATGCTGATGCAGATGATGCTGATGATGATGAGGACGACGACGATGATGATGATGAGGATGATGCTGATGATGCTGATGACGATGATGACGATGACGATGATGATGCTGACGATGATGATGATGCTGATGATGCTGATGATGCTGATGATGATGATGATGATGATGATGATGATGATGATGATGATGATGATCGGGAGGGTGCGGACTTCCGCGTGAGAAGTGGAGGATGAGGAAGACCTGGAAGATGACGAGGTGTAGATGAAATGTGAAGCAGGATGAAGAGGGTATCTATCGGGTGCGAGGCCAGGCCGCAGCGGTCTGTCTCGATCCCAGGTCGACGCTCACGTGCACCGCCAGCGCAGTCTGGTCCCCCATCGGCGGGGTGGTCAGCACGAACCTGCCCGGGTTCGGCTACAAGGTAAGATCGTAGCGCGGCGCTCTTGCGATTGCACCATTCATCATCAAGACGATGATCATCATCATCACCATCATCACCACCATCATCATTGTCATCAGCCTCACCATCATCATCAACACCATCGTCATCATGATCACCAGCATCACCAGCAGTCCATCATCATCAGCATCACCTTCATCGTCAACATCATCAGCATCCTTGCCATCATCATCGTCATCATCATCGTCATCATCTTTATCAATCTCATCATCATCGTCATCATCATCAGCAGCATCACCATCATCACATTGCCAGCATCATCATCAGCATAATCATCATCAGCTCATCATTGTCATCGTCATTGACATCGCCATCGTTATCGTCGTCGTCATCATCGTCGTCGTCATCGTCGTCATCGTCGTCGTCGTCATCGTCATCACCACCATCACCATGAAGGGAGGGTTGCAGATGCTTGGCGTCCCACCCTTTTCCTCGTCCTCGTCCTCCTCCCGCCCTTCCTGCTCCCGGTGCTCATTCTGCGCTCCTACCTCCCTCCCTTCTCCTCCCTCCATCTTCTCAACTCCTCCCTCCTTCCTCCTCCCTCCCCTCTCCTCCCCTCTTCGTCGCACCGTCGCGGCGGTAGCTCGGTCGGCAGTCTCTGCCGCGCTCCTCAGCAGGCCGAGGCTCCCGAGGCGCCACAGCGCGGAGCGGCTGCCTGTGCTCCTCCCGATCCCCCCCCGCCGCCCCTCGCGCGCGCGCGAGCGGAGCCGGAGGCGCCGCGAGGCGCGTGCTGGGCGCAAGGCTCTGGGCCGGGGAGAAGCTGCTGCTGCCGCGGAGGTGGCGCAGGCTGGCGCCGAGCCCACGGCAGGGCGCTGGGCCTGCCTGCGCCCGCCGCCGCCGAGGCCGCCGACCTCGGCGGCTCCCGGGCCGACGCCCTGCCCCGCGCGGGGCCTGCCGCCGCCGCCGGCGGTGCTGCAGGACGGCTCGGGCGGCGGCAAGCGGCAGGGAGGAGGACGTGGCCCAGGGCGGTGCGACCGGCAGGGCGGCTGCGCCCCCCGTGGCGCCCGCGGCCTCGCTGGCGCCTCCCTCTTCAAGGGCTCCCTCGAGGGCGCGAAGTTATTCGCGCTTCGCGCTTCGCGGTCCTCGTTCCTTCTCCCCCTCCTCCTCGTCCTCCTATTCTCCCTCTGGGAGGGCGGCGCGAGAGCGCGAAGTTATTCGCGCTTCGCGCTTCGCGCAGCGCGAAGCGCGAAGTTGGGAGCCCTAGCTCTTCGGACGCCGAGGAGCGTGCGGCCTTGGGTGCCGCGTGCCTCCTGCGGCCTGGCTCCTGCCGGTGCGACGTCGATATGCTCCCGCTCGAGGTGCTCTGCAAGCTCGTCGGCGGTCCCGCGGCCGCGACTGGCGCCGGAGAGCCACGTGGGGCCTCCTCGTGCTCGTGACGGGCTCGCAGGAGGCTGGCCTGCCTGGGCACCACGGTCACCTATGGTTGGGCCGCTGCTTGCATGCCCCTGGGGCGCCGTGGGTGGTCCCAGGTGGGCCCTTCCCCGCCAGTTGGCACCACGCGTGAGCCTCTCACGGATGCTCGGTTGGTCTGCAGGCTGGCCGAGCCTTCCGTGCTCCTCTTCTTCTTCAACACGGGTTTTGTGCTAAGTGGGTCGCCCTCGCTCCAGGGCCGATGCTTTCGCCCTTCTCGCACTGGACCCCCTGCCCAGCATCCGCGCCTTGCAGGGGGCGCGACGGTCTGCGTTTCCCCCCTCTCTTCCCGCTCCTCCCCCTCCTTTGCTCCTCCTTCCCTCCTCGCTCCCTCCGCCCTCCTCCCTCTGCGCCCTCCCCCTGTCTCCCTCCACCCCCTCTCCCTCCCTTCCCCTCGAGACAGATAAGTGCGAATCTTTTCAGAACGTTGCCCCGCCACCTTCCGCTGGGGGGCAGTCCACCCCCGCCCTGCTTCTCCGCCCCTTGCTCCCTGTCTTCCTTCCTGGTCTCCTCCTCGCCCCTGCTGCCCGCCCATCAGCTCCTGCTGCTGCGGCATCCCTCAGGAGGGGAGAACACACAAACACAATGAATCGGCGACTCCCAGGACAATCTGGGAACACATGGGGCGTGGGGGGGAAGATGAACGCCCAGAAACGATGGGAACCTGGTGGGCATCCTGGGATTTGTGCCTGTCTATGTGTGCCTCCCTGGGCCCCTTTAGGCCCCCCCCCCTCCGGCCCCTGCCCGCCCTCGGTTCGGGCACCCCGGCCCGGGCTGTGCTCGGTGCCTTCGGGATGCCGCGCCAAACTTCTCTGCGTCAGCCTGCGTGGCAATGCCCTTCGACAAGGTGTGACTCACGCTTCGGCGCGCGATGCCAGATCCTCGCGGCACCCAGAGGACCCAGAGGAGAAGAAAGCACCCATGTCTCTCTGCTCTTTCCCTCGCTCTCCCCTGTGTGGGCCTGGTGGGTGGCCCTCGTCGCCACCGGTGGATTCGCCTCGAAGTCCTGGTCAGAACTCACCCCAGGAGAAGTCCGGGGAGTAGCTTTAGGTCGGGCGTATCCCTTTCCAGGAGGAATTTTCGAAAATAGTCACAGAATAATCCGGGGACGATTTCGATTATTTTTGCAACTATGTGTACATATTTCGCCCCAACATCCGCCTGTTGGAGGACATGCCCGAGCTAAGAGTAGCGGTGTCCGTGCTTTTGTCGGGCCGGACGAAAGGGGGGGATCGGGAAAGGGGGGGTTACGAAATTTGCTGCATGCAGCTGGTTTCGGCCTCGCCGAGGGGTCCATTCCTCGATACATAGCCGCCTCCGGCGCCGGGAGGCGCCGGGAAAATCAGCTACGTGAGCTGATTCTCGAACCTCCCCTTTACTATCCCCCCCTTTCGCCCGACCCGATTTTGGTTCCCCCAGAGAAAAAACCCTGCACGGCAGAAGTCGGCGGCGGTGTCCAGGGCCAGCATCCCCGACGGCGGCGGCGGTCGGCGCGGGGAAAAAGGGGGGCGCTCTCGGGCAGGCGCGCGGCAGGCGTCAGCTGGCTGGGACACGTGTTTAAGCCGGCCCCGTCCCTCTGCAGGAGGACCCCACATCCAAAGTGGGGTTCTTGTTTTCTCTTGACACCCCGCGCAGGACTAGGAACCCACCATCATCCCTCTGCAGGAGGAAGATCCAAACATAGTAGAACATAGTTTTGGGACGATTTTTCAGATATATGTTTTGACTTTCTTGCTTTTTCCAAAGAATCCGCCTGCAGGACATGCCCGACCTAGTGATACCCTCGGCAGCGCGAGGTGCGGTCGGACTTGGAACTCGCGCCGCGAGAAGTGAGGCAGGCGGGGCCTTTGTTTCAGGGGCGACGAGGGGGGGACAGGCTCGAGGGCGGATGCATCGGCCCCCGATCGTCGTCCACCGATCGGCGATAAAGGGCCCGACGGCTTGCCCCGCCCAGTCTCCTCCTGGATCCGCCGTCGAGGGCCCGTCGCCGCTCTATCGGCGACGCATCGCAGCTTCCAGCCTAATGCTTCCCCCCCCTGAGCCGATCTTCCCCTCACGTCCCCCCTCACCGTCTGCCAGCGCAGGCTCCCCTGCTCACATCCGTCCGGAGAGGCACCCCCGCTGCGCCGAGCGGCCCGTGACCTGGGCTCCGCGCCGGCGCCGCGTGAGGGGGCCGGCCTCCTCGGCCGTGGCGGCCCGGGCTCTGCACCTGCTTCCGCGCGCCCGCGGCCAGCGGGGGGCCGGCCGCAGGGCGCATATGTTTCGGTTCCGCTCGTTCTCCCTGGTCGCCTTCGGCTCGCTGCCTCCGCCGCCTCTCTCGGCCGCGCCCTCCTCCTGTTCCCCCTCTGCCACGGCGGCACATTTTGTTCTGCCGGCACCCCCGTTTATCAGAGCTTGAATTACCGACCCCGCTGTCGCTTCCAGGCAACACCAAGCCATACCACGCGCCTCCTCGTCAAGCGGCCTGACCAGTGCAGGCTGCATTTTGGCATCGTTTGGTATCTCTTGGAAGCGAGGGTGGTCAAAAGCGAGGTAGGTTTGTTTTCCCCCTAGTTTAGGCCTTTCCGCGAGCGCAGACTTCCCTTCTCTCGCCGCCGGCGCAAAACGCAAAAACGTTGTCCCTGTGCGACCTCGTGTGCGAGCGCTCGCTGGAGGCATGCGGTGGTCCGCAGGCCGGCATGGCCCCCGCCTTCGTGGGCGCAGCGGTGTGCGGCGTTTGATTTGCCGATGGCCGCGGGATCTGGCCGACGCTCAGATCACAGCCGCGCGCGGCACAGGTCACGCTCGGGTCAGCGACGATGTCGCCCACGAGTTGCAACATCGCTGGCAGCTGAAGCAGTCTGATTGACTCGTCCTTGCCCTCGTGCTTCCCCGATTCTTCCTCCGCGTCCCCGTCGTCGCGCTCGTCCTCCTGCTCCTCTTGCAGCCTCTCCCCGCCTCTCTGACCAGCCGGCGTGGCTTTGGTCAGCACCAACCACTCCTGGTGGTTTGCGCGAGCCCCTCTCTGCCCAGGCCCCTCGCAAGCCAGTTGCCTGCCCTGCGCTTACCGTCTCCCCTGCCTCGTCCGACTGGCGCATGGTGTGGCGAGAAGGGTGGAATGCGTGGCGAAGGCGGCGTCCTTGGCCAACAGGATAATTTCGGACGAGGGGCAGAATGAGGATGGCTTCAGGTTGGAGCTGGCTGGGGGGCCGAGGTGGCCCAGAACTGGCTCTGGCCAGGAGAAAAGGGGGAGACACGGCCCCCCTTGTCGCCACGGCTGGACGAGGCTCGAACATATTGTTAGTTTCGACCCCGAGAGGGGTCTCGGAACCGATTTTGTGCGGATTTGCCCTCGTCCCTCTTTCTTGACAGATTGCTTGGGGGGCCCATCCAGCGCCGATTTCCCAGCCGCTTGCAAGCTGTAGGTGCTGGGTGTTGTCGGTGCCCTGCTCGGCTACAACATCTTCGTGTCGTACGTGACGAACCAGACAGAGGCGACGATGGAACTTCTGAAACTGGGGATGCTCAGAGCAAGGGTAATTGCGTTGAGGATGAGGGTGGCGTGACTGCAGTGATGGCAATGATGGTGACTGTGACGATGGTGGGTCGCTGTCTCGCCGATGACAATACAGCGACGCTGACGATGATGCTAAAGCTGATGATGATTGTGGTGGTGGCGGTGGTGATGACGACGGCGACGACGACGACGATGGGCTCCTCGGGACATGGGTGCAGTGCAGGCGTGGGCGGAGGCCGAATGCGCAACGCCAAGTCGTCTGCGCTCGGAAGCCAGGAGCGCACCTCCGAGAGGCCGCCAATCGGGCAATCCACCTCTGCGTGGCAGTTCCGCGTCTGGAGAGCAGCGCGCCGCGCTCCGCACTAGTGCGTTACCCCTCCCCCCACGCTTGCAAAGAGCTCGAGCACAGCTACGCTCTCTTCCCTGTTCGAATGCAGAGCTGAAGGCGGAGGAGGGCTCCTGTCCCTGGCGTTGCTGCTCACTACCGCCGCCTACTCTTCTTCCTCCCCGTCCCCCTCCTCCTTGTCGCTCTCTTTTCCTGCAGCTCTAGTGCCGCCCAGAGCGGCATCGCACCAAACACGTATTATCAGGAGGGGAACAAAAAACACACAGACACAATTATTCGTCGCCTCCCAGAAAGTATGCGAAACTATGGGAAGTGGGGGGGAAGACAGAAACCCAGAAAATATGGGAACATGTGGGGGGTCTTTTTGTTTGTGCCTATTTATTTGTGTGTCCCAGGGCCCCTTCGTGTTAGACACGACAGCACGCGACGGCGCGGGGCCGACTCCCGAAGATGAGCTCCGGAGGTCCGGGAGCCACGCCGCGGACCTCGGGGCCGCAGGCGCCCTCTCCCCGGCCACCTGGGAGGCGGGAGCGCGAGCCGGAAGGTGCGGATCTCCGTGTGAACGCTGCGCGTGTGCTGCCCTCAGCAGGCCAGCCATCACTGGGGGGGCTGTGGTCCTCTTACCCCCCTGGGGGATCCATCGATCTCGACACCCCTCTCGAGAGATCGTCGATGCGATGGGTTCCCCCAGGGGGGTAAGGACCACAGCTCCTCCAGTTATGGCTGGTCGGTTCAGGCTCGCGGCTAAGCACCAGCCAGATATTTGCTATGTGTCTTGCCCTGATCGGAACTAAGCGCGCAACGCGCGCGATGGGCGATGTGTGTTTTCCATCTCGTGGTTGCGGCGCCGAGGTAGCATCGAGCCACGTGCGATTGTTTCCCGAACTGTTCATCCATCGCAATTGTTTGATATCTGCCATACCAAAGAGCACGTCGTCCTTGTGCTGACCAGGTACATTTCATGTAGCTGTGCACTTGCATCTCGCAGACGCTGGCCGACCATCAGCTTGATGCTGTGTGTTGACTGGGGTGCCACACACAGTATCCTGCCATTATCTTGCCCAGCAGACTCGTGGCAGATTTGGGGGCCACTGCTGTGAGTCACGCGGCTCGCACATGGGCAGTGTGATATTTTATGTATGTACTCCATGCCGGGTGTTTGTGGATGTCGTTCTTTCTCGGGCCAGCGTGACGTCGTGACGCCTGCCATGTCTGATTAGTCTAGCATCAATCGGCTTTCTGTGTCGGTTGTCGTGTTGCCAGTGTGTTAGCCATGTCGTCGGCAATGTCTTTATGCGGCGTTGTCGAGTTTTCTGTTTATCGGGCCAGCGTGACGTCGTGACCGCCACCACGCCTGATTACCTCTGGAATGTTTCTACGATGTGTCGGCAATTTCAGGTTCGAACCACTTGTGTACAGTGTCCCTGTTATGATTTGCATGTATACCTCCGTGTCTTTCATTTCTGTCCTCATGGCCGGTTCTGTATGCGTAGTCTGTATATCCTCTTATCGTGTCTTTCATTTGGATGTGACATCGCTAATGTGGGACACGAGGGTGAATCGGGGCTACTGGGACTTCGCGGCCGCGGTAGGGAGGGCCGGCGGGCGATCGGAGCCTGGCGGTCGCGGTCTACAGGGCTGGCAGTTGATGCTGTTGTCTTTGCTTGGATGTGTTTTACCTTAGACTCTTCCAGAAAGCTCGTATGCCGGGCGGGGAACACCGTCCCGACTGAGCGCGGTTCCAAGAGGGGCCCCACAGGATCTCATTTCGGCTCGGCGTACCGCCGGCTACCCTCTCACACGGCTCCATACCGCCCCACGGCAGTTTCAGGACTTTTCAGATGGCACAGAGACCTAGATTGGAGCAGGAGGAGCGGGAGGTGGTGGTGGCAGAGGCGGAGGAGGGGCGTGATCCAGCCTCGGCGCCGAAGGCCTTCATGTTTTTGGAGAAGATGCGGCTGTATTCCACTGGCGACGAGCTTGTGAAGAAGGGCTTCTTCAAGTCGGACGCTGAGGAGGCTGCACGCGGGATGCGTTCCGCTCGAGTCGTCCGATCCCCCTGTTCGTTGCTCTTGCTTTCTCCACCCCCCTTTGTCTGTTCTCGTCGGTGCCCTCGTCATTGTCGTCATCCTCCTCGTCGTCTCCACTGCTTGATTCGTGCCTTATCATCTTCCTCTTCCACTGTGTTGTTCGCTCTTATTCTTCCCCCGATCTCGCACTTCGAGAACGCCTTTCTCGGAGCCGATTTTTTTTTGTTGCCATCAGCCGATATGTTCAATGATTCCCGTCACTTCGAGCTCTGACGCCACGCCGATGCCAGGCCCCCGTCACATTCCCGTCTTACCTTTCGCTTCTTCGCCCGCGCATCCCCTGCCCTCGCCCTTGCCACCACAGAGCGCTGCTCACCTTTCTCTCTACAGGGAAAGACGGAGGAGGACGACGAGGGAGGAGCACGCGGAGGAGGACGAGAACGCGCACGAGGGAGCAGTGGGAGGGACAGGAGGCGGGGGCGTGGGCGAAGGGGGAGCAGCAGGAGGAGCAGGAGCAGAGGAGGAGGAGGAGGAGGAGGACCTCGGCGGCCGATCCTCCGAGCAGGGGCGGGGACGCCTCTTCTGGAGGCGCCACCGCAGCTCGTGGCGGCGGCGCAGCCCGGGTCGTTGCGCGTCGGGTGTTGTCGGCGTGCACGTGTTGGTGGCTCCCCTCGCAGATAGCAGGCGTACCGACTGGGCTAGATGCCGTGCTGTGTCTCCTCAACGACGCTGGACAGTTTTGTGTGCCTGTGTTGACGAGCGGACAACACGCACCCATACCCATGGGGGGGTCGTTGGGAGGAGGACTGGCTATGGGTATGGGTGCGGGTTGTCGGACCCTGGGGAACGCTCCCGTTCGAGCGGGGACCCCCATCCGACAACACGCACCCATAGCCCTCTCCGATCCCCCTATGGGTATGGGTATGGGTATGGGTATGGGTCAAGTCACCCCCTCCCCGCCCGCAAGCCGTCTCGCTCACTCCCACCCGCCCTCCCAACACATACGTAGCACCCGAGTCTGGTTCGAGCCTCAGCATATTCAGCAGTAGTCTTTGGATGGGCAGCTACTGGGGCCAATCCGCCGCCGCCGCCGCCGCCGCCTCCGCCGCCGCCGCCGCCGCCGCCGCCGCCGCTGCCCGCCGCCGCCACCCCCGCCGCGCCGCCGCCGCCGCCGCCGCCCCGCCTGCCGCCGCCGCCGCCGCCGCCGCCGCCGCCGCCCCCCGCTGCCTAACCGCCGCCGCAGCCGCAGCCGCTGCTGCCACCGCCGCCGCCGCCGCGCCGCCGCCGCAGCCGCCGCCGCCGCCTCCGCCCCGCCCCCGCCGCCGCCGCCGCCGCCGCCGCAGCCGCCGCAGCCGCCGAGGCCGCCGCCGCCGCCGCCGCAGCCGCCGCCGCCGCCGCCAAGTGTACTCTGTATTGTTTTTTTGACAGGGGTGGTGGGGGGCCGCATGGGGTTGGCTGCGCATGTTCCGAATTTGGAGGCAAAGTGTATATTGTATTGTTTTTTACAATGGATGGTGGGGGGGGGGGTCGGCATGGACTCGGGTTGGCCCCCAGTCGCCTGGGGGAGGGGGTGTTTATTAATAGGGAACAGTGATGTAGGCTTGCCCAGAGACAGAAGGTTCACTTCGCTTGAATGGCCCCCGGGCCCTCTGGACGACCCAGTTGCTGCTGTTGATGATGCGGTGGAAAGGATCTGATGAGGGTGGGGGTGTGTCAGGCTGACGACCGCAAACACCACTTCGAGCACGCCAAGGACCACCTCGAGGCGCGCTGAGCAGCCGCGGGCAGTTACCCCCCCCCTTTCTGCCAGGAGTGGAGGGGTCAGGAGGATCAGGCTGACCAGGACCGAGGAGGATGATGAAGAGGTTGAGGATAAGATTGAGGAGGATGCAGAAGGGGAGGAGGAGGAGGAGGAGGAGGAGGAGGAGGAGGAGGAGGAGGAGGAGGAGGAGGAGGAGGAGGATCCTCATCCTGACTCATCCTCGCCGTCGTTTCCTCACCCTCGTCGTTGTACCGTTTAGCGCCAGTGTGTCCCTGTGCCACAGAGCGTGTCGCCGCTCGAGGAGGAGGACGAGGATGTAAACTGGCTGGGGGAGGCGGAGGATGAGGGGGTGAGGGATAAGAGGATGATGAAACCAAGCGAGGACGGAGCGTGCCTGTCGGTGACCGGGTATATAAAACTATATACATATAACGGCGCACCGGGCCTGGGGGCCCCGGGGCCGCAGCTTCGACCGCAAATGGGGGGACGTCGGGCCCGGCCCGCTCCCCGCCGGGCCCCAGGTCGGCCCCCGGAACGCCCAGGCGGCCGTCCAGGCGGCCCAAGGCCGCCCAGAGCCACCCTGAAGACAACCTCCAGCGGTCTCCGGCGGCTCAAGAGGCGTCTCGAACCGCCCCAGACGCCTCCAAGACGCTCGAAGACCCCTCCAAGAGATCCCCCCAGACGGCACCGGGAAGCAAACATAGCCCCCTTCCTTTCGTAAAACGTACATTTTTACCATATTCGACTTTTTGTCCTTCGTACCGTCCTTTACGACCTCAGACTCTCCCTAGACCGCCCCAAGACGGCCCACGAAGCCCACAAGAGGGCCCCAAGACGGCCCCAGAGGGGCCCAGGACAGTCCAAGAGGCGCCCAGGACGGCCCAAACGCGCCCCCCAAGGGCCCCGAGAGGGGCCTTGAGACGGGAACCCAACTGAACCTTCCAGCCCCCCCGCCCCAGGAGGCCCCCAAGAGGCCCCTAAGAGACCCCCAAGAGGCCCCAAGAGGCCCCCAATACGCCCGCGGCAGGCCCCAAAGGGCCTCCAGAGTCCCCCCCAGAGGCTTCCAAGAGGCCCCCCGAGGTTCCCAGGAAGCCCCCAGGAGACCCCCCAGAGGGCCCCAACGGGCTTCTGAGAGGCTTCCCCAGAAACCTTCATGTACGTCTACATGCGGCCTCCAGTCCAAAAACCTGAGACCGTTCCTGGGACGCCGCCGGGGCCGCCGGGCTCCAACAGCCAATTGAGGAAGCACGGATAACCCCCAGAAGCCATTCAGATGCCCCCACGAAGACCCAAGAGGTTCCCAAGAGGCCCTCAGGAGGCACGACTATGTCACGCGCCTGTGCTTGATAGCGCTGTCCAAGATCTTCTAGCGCGCCCCCGGCCTGGGCTAGAACCTGAGCGCGCGCGATGGTTCTAGTGTGTGTATATATATATATATGTATGTATGTATATACATATTTACATATATATACATATAAAACAATGCGGAGGCGGAGGCGAGGAAGGGGTAGGGGGAGGAGGAGGTCCCGAATAGCCCTCCCAGGGGCACTCTAGAGACGCCCAAGAGGCCCCCAGTCACCCCCAAAACGCCCTCCAGATGCCTCACGAGGCCCCTGCCTGCTCCTTGCCCTCCTCCCCTTCCGCGTCCTCCTCTCCTGCATTCTGTTCAGCTTGCCTGTCAAATTTTGCCTTGGGTTTCGGCAGAGTGACGTACGCCTCTTGAACAATAGCAGCGCGGAGAAACACGAGAAGGGGTAGGGGGAGGACGATGACGATGACGAGGGTGATGAGAGGACACAGCACTTTTATCGGGGTCAGATGGATCATTGAGTAGGGGGAGGGCTTAGGAGTGAAATTTAATATATATATATATATAGTACTTGGGGGTTGGGGAGGGGAATGGGTAGCGAGGGGCGGAGGGTGTGTTGTTGTTGATTATTATGTAGATTTTGGAGGTGATATTAGATGTGGTGTGATTGACGATGGATGAATGGTGATGTCGCTAACGAGGCTGACGGTGATGCCGGTGACGGGTGGCTGCTGATGAGGGTGATGGCGACAGGTGAGGACGATTGTGTTGAGGACGCTGATGCCGATGCTGCCGCTTTTGCTGCTAATGCTGATAAGTATGATTATTCTGATTTCGACGTTGAGCATGGTGAAGGTGGGAGTGGTGGCGAAGTTGCTGCCGCCGATGCCAAGTACGTACGGTGGTAATGCCGGTGGTGGCGATGGTGGATATGATATTGATGGTGGTGGTGATGATTCTGGTGGTGGTGATGGTGATTCTGATGTTGATGCTGATGATGTTGATGATGGTACGGTTGCTGATTATTATGATGATAATTGTGGGGATGATGATGAGGAAGATGCTGATGAGGATGATGGTGGCGCTTCGGATGCTGCGCATGATGGTGGTGAGCAGGACGATGGCGAGGACGAGGCCGCCCTCGGTGTTGTCGTCGCCGTCGTCGCCGCCTGGCAGCGCTGAGGGTAGCCTCGGGCTTCACGCGTTGGGCCCCTTCCGCCAGTGGCGCTCCGTGGCCGCGAGGCGCTGTGGCAGACGGCCCTCGCGGACGCCACCCAGACGCGGTCCTTCGACAAGCTGTGCTCGTACCTGGAGGTGGACGAGAGCCACCCAATTGACCGCTCCGCTCCGCAAGCGGGAGGAGGGAGGCGGAGGAGCGGCAAGCGGAGTGGGGGAAGCGGATGGTGAAGAAGGCACGCACGAGGAGCGGGAGGAGGAGGAGCAGGAGGAGGAGGAGCAGGAGCAGGAGAAGGGAAGATAATGAGAACCAGTGTGAACCCAATACGCATCACCGATGTTGCAATAGCCATCCCTCAAAGTTCCCTATCCTCAGATCCCTGCAAGAATTTCTTTTCTTTGCGGGAAGCGCCCCATTGGCAGACACTCGTCTGATAATCCCCAATCGTGCCAAACCACCATCGCTTCGTGTGACTTCAGCGCCGCGAGCCAGCGCTACTCTTGCGTCCTGACAATTCTGAGTTGTGCCAGAACACCATTCTTGGACTCCAGCGAATCGCGCCATAACACCATTCCTTGGACTACAACTCCGCGCATCAATGTGGCGGCTGCGTCCTGACAGTCTTAAGTTGTGCAATAACGTGGACTTCAATCGTGCGAGTCGTTGAAGCCACAGGCTTTTAGAACGAATGTGCGCTGCTCTACGTCGAATCCATTTCTTAAAAAGAACCCGCTCACCATCCGTGAAAGTGTGACGAACTTTTCAATGTCGTGGGTACGGCACTAAGGCGATACCCGCATTTTGAAAATGGCCCGCTCTCCATCCGTGAAGCTGCTGCGACCTTTTGCACCGAATGAGTGCGACGCCAAGGCGAGAACCACAGCATGAAACCGACCAGCTCTCAAGCCGTGACGTTGTTGCCATGTTTAAGGCAAGGTTTGTGCTGCGGTACTGCGGGAGCCACATACTGAAGACCACCCGCCCATCCTCCGTGAAACTCCGCAAGTTTCAGGGTTCAGGAGCGTGCATGGCGTGGCATGTGTCAAGTACCAGGGTCATACATGGTGACGGAGTCTCAGGCGAAACGCCCAACCCGCCCTGTCGACACGTGATGGTGCGACATGGAGGAGTTATGTTATATTTTAGCTGGTTCAGGAACACATCAAACCTGCCCCTCTTAGGGTTAGGCGGATGTCCACGCATAGCCTCGTGCATTAAGTTCAGCATATGCGCGTGCATTTCAAATCACACCCAATAGTGCACGCATTACATTGCGCATTACGTGTGGCATTTAACCGCAAGCCCCAATCGTGCACGCATTATATCGCGCATTACACATGGCATTTACGGCAAACCCCAATAATGCACGCATTACATCGTGCATTTCTACCAATGTGCAACGCAAGCGCACGCAATTGTTCTTGCAATTCAAATGGCCTAAACCTACAACATATAGCAATACAGCAATGCCAACGCATTTACAATATCATAAGTAGTTGGAAAAAAACTCTTGGGGTCAGGGTGGAAGGGTTTGAACTACGAACACGGGAGGCTGCGAGAAACGGTGAAATGAGGAGGATGGAGAAGATGGGAAGAAGGACGAAGACCAACGGGGATGAGAAATACCTTCCCTGTTTACGCCTCGACTCGGACAACACACGTGGAATGACCCAACACGTTGCGGCCCGTCCTCCGCCTCCTCTCTTTCCCCTCCCTCCTCCGTAATCATCGTGGCTCTTGGGTTGATTTTGGTTTGGTTGCGGTTTTTTTGTTGACCCATGGAAGCAGCTGTCCATGATCTTGTGGATTATTTGGCGGCCGCAGAGGATCCGCGTGGGGCCGCCCACGAGGACGAAGCAGATGCCATCCTTGGCGCAGTAGGCACCGCACTGCGCCAGCGACGAGGTCCGCTCGTTGCGAACACGTGGGCTGCAGAATGCCATGCAAGGGCCATGCGTTTGAGCAAGAAGGTCCGCCGAGAGCAGCAGGCAAAATGTGTTTCTGGTGCCATGCAGGAGCGTATTGACAATGTCAACGCCATGCATGCTGTGAGGCCCGCTGACATCATCGATTCTGCCAGGATGAATGAGGTCAAGGCTGCAGACCTACGAGGGCAGGGGAGGGGAGCTGCCTGCCAATGGTTGACGTGCGCACTTCTGCGCGGAGCTTGGGGCCTTGCCGGACACGCTGCGCAGGTGCGCAGACGGAAGCGTAGAGCACGTGCGAGTCGGCCGCGGGCATCGGTGCTCGCGCACAGCATGCGCAGCGTCGGCATGGCCATGCGGGCTTCGCACTCGCATATCAAGAAGGTCCGCTCAGCGATCGCTGAACGTTACCTTGGACTTCAACGGGCACGGCTGGACGACTTCGGGCGGTGGCAGTGCCGCGTTGTAGAGGTCAGCATGGACGAAACTGAGCACCCCATCAAAGTTGACGGCCAGGTCGAAGTTCATAGCGTGCTGGTCGTCCACGCGCATGTGCTTCAACGTGCAGCGAACCATGAGCTGCATGAGCACGAAGTCGTGGTCCCGCCAGCAACAATTGCAAACGCGAAGACGTCGACCCTGATCGCAGCTGTGGAGAATCGTCTGGGGTTCTTTCTCCGCCGCACCGATGGAGACGTCGGTCGGCGCGTGACCATCTTCAACACCGATTCTGCTAAATCTATGCTGAAGTTGGGCAGGAAATATCGGGAGAAGGATGGGCCCAATGATATGACGCTGCATAGTTTCTGTTGCATGCATACGCTTTGGGCCTCAATCATGGGGATGCTTAGCGGATACGATTTGATCAATGGCATTTTCTGCGCTACCTGCTTAATGCACAAAGCCCGAAATCGGCGAAGACTTCGGAAGCGCATGAAACAATTCATGGAACCCAACCGCACGAACACGGCAGGATTGCGATTTGAGTGCGGAGTTCCTGCCGCCGAGCATCGTGAGTACAATAGGCAAGTCATGGCCTTGCTTGACTTCGCGGACGACCCGTCCGAGGCCCTACTCGTGGATCGGTTCGGTCAGCCTCAGAACTACAACTCTGCCAAGAGGCGACGCGCCAGGGAGGAGTTCTTAGACTTCTTCAGCTCGTCTTGGGCGGCCGCGCGGAGCGGCCATGTCTGCGCGGCAGGGTGCGAGTGCGGCGGCCCGAGCAGTGCGCCCAAGAAAGCTGAGGATTTAGTCCGGAGGGCCTTTGCGCAGTACAGCCCACGGGTGCCAGCCTTAAATAAATGGAACGAGCTTTTCCACCCTCTGGCCTGGTGGAATTTCGCGTTCGCCTTCAGCACGGCCGTGGTCAAAGTGTTTTGCACGAGTGCCCGACCTCGGGGGCCTGACGAGGGTGAGTTTCAAGGTGCAGAGATCTATGGCATTGGACGTGACGACGCCTACCAGAAAGCCCAACATGCTCGATTCAAGAAGGCTGAGAGATTCTTCAACGATCCATCGATCTCGTGGAGGCTTTCTGCCGCAACCGTCAACATGGTGCCTGCGCTGAAGGCCCATTGTTGCGTGTCCAACTGAGGGGTCCTCGGGGGGGGGGGGGGGGGGGGGGGGGGCGTGTTCTGAGCTTCGAGGGGTTCCAGACGCCCCCTCAACGTCCGGGGAACACCTGGGGCCCGCGACAGAAATTCAGGACAGCACAGGCGCTGGCAGAGGAGGAGGAGGAGGAGGAGGAGGAGGAGGAGGGGGAGGAGGAGGAGGAGGAGGAGGGGGAGGAGGAGGAGGAGGAGGAGGAAGAAGAAGAAGCGGAGGAGGACGACCCTCCCCTCCACCCCGCAGCTGGGGAGGTGGCGGCGGTGCGTGTGCGTGGGGAGCATCATCAAAACTCTTGCGAGGCTCGGTGCCCCCCCCTCCCCCCCTCTGGATTGAAGGTGTTGGGGGAGTTCTTCGAAGACGCCAGAGACAAGTCAGAGCATTCAGGTGTGGGCCCGCTGTGTCATCTGAGAACGTCACCAGCTGCTCGCGCTATCCAGAGTTACGCTGCTCGGCTCCGAGATGATCGCGATCCATGTTGGCTTCCCATTTCTGGCCCTGGATGGAGGTGGACGCAGCAGTCTTACCATTCCGCTGCGTGGGGTGCGTATCAGATGGTGGGGGGTTTGTGGATGAGGACTGTCTCTCCTTATCTGCAGTGGCCGTGGCCTTTAGCGATCCTTTCAAATCGGTCGGCCTCAGATGCTGAGAAGAATTTGACCAGGCGGCATTTTTTGCGAGCGAACCCTTGCTGTGGCGATAACGTGGTTACGAAGCTCCGCACTTCGGTGCGAACTGAGGCAGAGCTTGGCGCGGAAGACCAATTTCTGCGAGATTTGTTTTACATGGTGCCCGGGCAGAACATCAGATCCGAATGCAGGTTCGGGCGCATGAAGAACCACGCACGCTGCTCTGCTGACAACTCCCCCGACGAGGCAACGCTGATGGCTGAGCACGTCCTGTCGGAGAGTTGGTGCATGATGGCTGCTGCTGCAGAGAGGTGGGAGGTGGCCGATCAAGCGCGCAACGCCAATTCTTGGGTGTAGGGGGCGGGGGAAGAAAATCTTGATTTCTGCGCCTGCCAGGGCGGTGATTCGAGCTTCAGGGGCCTGCGACGGCCCCAGTCGACCAACGACGTTCCCTGGACAACCTTGTGCCCCGCACAACAGCGTTGCGCGCGTGATGGGCCTGCCTCGTGGCAGGGCTGGACCTGCGACTGTCGAAGCACCTCCTGCGATGCGCCGGGTTCGGAGCGCGTGGCATAGTTATGTTTCAGAGGCACGTTCTGGCATCAGAGGGTTGCGCCCGGGCTTCCTCGCACTGCCTCCTGAAGAACACGCTCGATTGGCAACGGTAATGGTGCGACCACGAACCAAGCCTCAACCCGCTCGGCCACTTGACCCTGAACAGACTCCCTGGGGCATCGGCGGCGGAGGGTATCCGACCAGAGCAGATCTCCTCAATGACATTAGGTGCAGAATCACCTTTTATTGGAATGAGTTTCGTGCACGCGTGACTGGGTTGATCTCCAATACGGGTGCGTACGACTATGCTGATGAGGAGGACCCGCCCACGGTGGAACCATGTTGCGCTCGGTTCGGCTTGGGGATCTGCAAGGATGATTTCAGCGAGGTGGAACTGGAGCTCATCGACCGTTTGAGAACCGACCTCAAACGCCTCGTGCACGA